CACATAGAAAGAATGAGCCTGCATCGTTACGTAACAACTCAGACATCTGAAAAAAAGAGCTGTGTATCAACCCTTCCCCATAAACCTCAATAAACCAGGCTAGGCTGGCGCCCAATTAAAACACAAGTGGGAGTGAATTTTGCTCAGAATAAATTCCAGCTTGACATGACCACGCTGGAAGAAGAATCAACAGCTCATGATAAATATTCACAGTGAGTTTGGGAATACAGGGGTGGGGACATCAAAGCAGAAACTGCCCCAACTTATATAGAATCCACCTTCAACCCATAAGTCCATATATATTCTTCTCAAAAATCGCATACGATCACACACGTATTTCAAATAATTATATATGTATTACTAAGTAATAAAGTAAAAAGTAAGTGATAATAAGAATATATCTATTTATCTGTTCAGTAATCCAACGTATGTCTCTTTTGTTGCAAGAATGTTGCTCTCCAGATAGAAGTGGTATGTACTCACAAATTTTCAGGCTTTCTAACTAAAGTTATCTAATGTAATGGTTCTTGTATTGCTCTCCGCCCTTTTAAATTGTATCAATCAATCTTTTACTGCCTGCCAGCAAAAAGACAGATTCATTCAACTGGTAAAAGATAGCTCAGCATTTATATCAATCCCATTGAATGGATTGGTCTACTCTAATTGGAGCTAGTGATAGGATGTTGATTTCTGTCTAGCCCTTCATTGGCTTGGAAATTTGACAACCCACTTCTGCTGTATTTAGGAGCTTTCCTAATCTTTTTGCAGAAAAGCGAATAGGGCAACAAAACACACACCACAAACACAAGCCCATTGCGGAAACATAACCCCATTCCAAACGAGGTTTCAGCAGCTGTCCCACCAATGCAAAGATTCTATCATTACCATTTACATCAACAGCATAACAGACAGATATTCAACAGGTTCTTATGGAATGCTATACTAGTGTGCTTTTCAACAAGGAGAAAGAATGTATGGTTATAACAGTTGTCAGAGAAGTAGCCCTCTTAGTCTGCTTCAGCAACAACAAAAACCAAATATTGTGGTGTCTTTATAAGACTAAGGAAAGTCACACCAAAACACATGTTCTTGTTCTTATTTTTTTTATTATTTATGCACTATTTTCATACAGATACAGTTCTTCTCTCTGAAGGCACCAGTGTTTACCATGGTTAAAACAAACAACCAAAAAAATCAGATCAAACTATCTGGCCAACATAGGAATCCAAAAGGAAGAAAACGCATCCTTAGGAAGCGAGGAAAAGGCAGATAAAACCAGCAGCGCCCCAAAGCAGGCAGAAAACAGGGGCGCGTTCTAGGCTCCCCTTCGCATCCCTACAAAGACAAGGTGCATGCCTAGATGTGCCACAATACTCCTGCTTTCTTTCTTTCTTTCTTTTTTAAATTACAGTCTCAGTTCCAAACCTTCTATGGTGATGGTGCTGATGCTGATTGTGATGATGGTGATGATGATGATGCGACTCTTTTCTCATTCCCGGATCACTTAGTACGTCCTGGGCTCCTTTACGCGTTTCTGTCTCCGCTCGGAGAGCTGCGAGCAGATGCCCGGCGCGTTTACTCGCAAGTAGACTCCTCTCCCACGCGACTCCTCTCCCAAGGGACGGTGCACGCGCACACGATGCGTCCCCCGCCGCCACCATCATCCGCATCATCCTCACCTCGGAGAAGGAGCCCTCTGGAACTCATGCGCAAGCTACTTCCTCCGAGGAAACCAGCCTCGGTCCGGGACCCCGCTCTGCCCCCCCCCCAAGCCTTCCCTTTGGTCGGAGCGAGCCTTAGTCTCGGAGAGGCTCCAGAAGGGATACGATCCTGTCCCTCCCCAGAGCTCCGCCCCCTCCTTTCTGGGCTCCGCCTCCCGCTCTGGAGTGATCCGGACCGCCGGATCCGGCTTAGATGGTTCTCGGGCGCCCGGACGGATCGGGTCCGGAGAGGGACGTCCAGAGAAGAACCAAGACAGGACCCCCTCGCCCCCCCCCTCGGATGCCCGGCAGGGAAGGAAGAAGCGCCCGGGAGAGGAGGGGATGATCCGCGCCATGGGATGGATCCTGGAGACCTTCCGTCCCTAGGGAAGGTAAGTGCCAACAGGTTGGGGGCTGCCCAAAATCTTTACTGGAGAGGACTCATCAGGAGATCAGAGGCTGTCCTGTTTCATTCGTCCACCAATGGAGGTTGAGCAGCTAGTCACCCTGGACCCCAAAATATTTGGGAATCTCTACCAAAGTTATTGGACTTTGGCAAGTTTCTAGAAACCAACCAGATCCGCAGACGGTTTGGAATCAAGGGATTTAACAGAGATCTGTTTGACAGAATGTATTGTATGGTTCTTTTTTCCTCTTCGCCAACATTTCCATAATTGTTGCCCATGATAAATTAGTATGTCAAGGTAAACACAGGTCGATTTACTTGTATATGAAGAGAGTTTCAGGAGTCATAGGAGCAAAACTAACTTTTCCAGTCTCAGGATGGGGCACCTTCTTCTGAACTTCCTTCTGCCTGCGTTTTCTAGGGATTTTAAAAAGTCACTTTGCTAGGTTTTTCCCTTTGTGCGTGGCATGATGTGAGCTCCGGTCCATGAACGCTTAAATCAAGGTTTTCCCAACCTTAGGTCCCCAGATGTATTTGGATCACAACATCTGTCATTCCCAACTATGGACCACACTGAGATGTCTGGATATTGTTTGGAGACTGAAACTTAAGGGGAGGTGGCCAGCCTGGACACACGAAGGAAATGCTTTCTAGTTCTTCGGGTACTTTCCATACCTCTGTTGTACTGAATCATGGTCACATGGTTTAGATCCCGATACAAATGTCCCAAGAACTTTGTAACTATTGATTTCCTCCTATTTGAATCATTATGGTCAGCTACACCATGGTACTGGTTTATTTTCTCTTTTGCTTCAAGGAGCCCCTTGATTTATATATATATAATCATTTCCAGCCCTTTTCATTCAGTCGCAACAGAACCCCATACCCCACACGGGGGGGCAGACTTGCACATGTGGGGTGGAGCCCCACCCAGAGGACCTGAAAATTAGAGGGAACATTGATCGGGAAGGGGTTTCTCTTTAGGAAAATGTCTTCTGTTGCACTGGCTGCTCCTGCAGAAATGCATTGCACACCATGGACATGGGATATCCATGCAGCAGTACTTGCAATTACCCGCCGAGTGACATTGGCATACCAACCGTTCAATGTATCAGGCAAGGTTGTACACACAGGAAATCTCAGTAAGGAATGCACCAGTACCACAAAGGTACAAAATAACACAACCCTCCTAGCAATAGGGAAATGTTCTGCAGTTACACCACTGGCTGGGAAAATATCTCAATTTTGACTGTGCATTGTGTGACCAGGGAAAAAAGCAACAAACTAATTGGGGGATAACTAGAGATCATGTGATCAGAGCCATAGTGGCTTTATTTATGACCACTGGCGGTTGGGAGATGCATGCAAAGATTGGTAACCTTTTAGGTATTGGTTTATTCTGAAACAAGAATCCAGAGAGAAACAGCTGAGATAATATATATATGTATACATGTTTAAAACCTGTCTAAAGGAACTGAATATATGCCAAGGTTTCTTAGGTCATTATAAAATATAAAATATTGTGTTGTATCTGCTGCAGTTCCCAGGTATACAACATATGCCATTGAACTATCCAATAGTAAATCTCTATTTCCTTACTGTCTACCAGTGCCACCTCACAAGCCTGATTGGTGATTAAAAATACTCATCACCACATTGTCTCTGCTACTTACCTATAGTCTGAGATTAATTCAGCAGAGCAATCATTGTCATTGTTTAGCTTCAAGTCTCCCCAGGGAAGGCCACCCCTTTACTCCCATCAACTGGCACTTACAGTCTTAATTATTCACTTTGAGAGACTTGCACTCTTCCATGCTTCCGTCCTGAACACATAACAAAATCCATCGTGTACAGCCAAGTCCTCAGATACAATCGTATCTGCTCAGACCCATAGGATAGAGACTCCAAACATAAGGATCTACAAAACGCGTTCCCTCAAACTAGGAACAAATCAACAAATCAAGACACATACCCAGAAGTAACTTACTGCAAGGCAGACCCAGAGGACAAAATGACAGAACACCACTAGTTGTCATGTTCAGGCCATAAAGGAGACTACTCATATTGCATCTTAAGTGATTTCCATCCTATTCTTGATAGGAATACTTCACTCTCCAAAGCCCTTAGTGGCAGACCCATACTTGCCTATAAACCACTGGTCCCCAACCTTGGGCCTTCAGATGTTCTTGGACTACCACTCCCAGGAGCCTTCACCATCACCTCTGCTGGCCAGGATTTCTGGGAGTTGAGGTCCAAGAACATCTGGAGGCCCAAGGTTGGAGACCACTGCTATAGACAACCCCCCAACACATAACGGGCCACAAAACAATAACACAGATATGGGGACTAAACCCGGCCACAGACCCAGATAACAACTCTGCGCACACATCTATTCCGGCAACAGAATTACAGGACCTAACAACGCCACACACAACATCACTTGTTCCTCTGTTCTACAGGCAGTAGAAAGGGGGAATGGGTTTTCCTATTTAAAAAAGAAACCAAATCATTTTTCCCCACAGAAAGGTATCTGATTGGAGAGAACGTGAGCAGTGCACCTCTCTGAGGTCTAGGGTGACCCCAGACTTCGGGAAGTTCCCCACTTCCGATTTGGCTCAATATTGTTGACATGGAGCAGTGGTTCTCCAGGCTTAGATTCAGGATTGTTTCCAACATCTCCTTCAAGAGGCTAGGAATGGGGGGGTCGTACCGATAGGGTGAAAAGGATATGCTCCCCCGCCGAGCAATCTCTCCCTCCCTGTGCCTACAGAGCTTCCTTCTGGGAAAATGGGAAGTCTGCAGGAGGAACAAGGAAACAATGATGGGATTGGGTGGGAAAGTGCTGCCTTTCTAAATCTTTCTTCATTTCTCTTGCAGAAACCGAAAGAGAGGCCATGACACCACACGATGCCTTTGTCTTCGCTGTGTACCTCTTTGCCTTCCTGGCCGGCCTCCCAGCAAACCTCTTGGCCTTTTACACCTTCATGGCAAAAGTGCGGAAGAAGCCGGCTCCGATAGACATCCTTTTGTTCAACTTGACTGTGTCCGACGTCATCCTGCTGCTCTTCCTCCCCTTCAAGATGGCGGAGGCTGCCTCAGGCATGACGTGGCCTCTCCCAGCCTTCCTCTGCCCGCTCACTGGCTTCTGCTACCACAGCAGTGTTTACATCAGCTCCCTTTTCCTCACAGCCATCAGTGTGGAAGCGCTATTTGGGAGTGGCCTACCCGATCAAGTACAAGTTGAGTCGCCGGCCAGTCTACACAATAGTGGCCAGCTTTTTTTTCTGGTTGCTTGCCTGTTCCCACTGCAGCATTGTCTACATTGTGCAGTACCATGTGCCGGACGTCAATGAGACGGACCCCAACCCAGCTAATGTCTCCAAATGCTACGAGAAGTTCTCCTCCAGTCAACTCCAAGTTCTCCTCCCCGTCAGGCTGGCAGCCAGCATTACCCTCTTCCTCATCCCTTTCTTCGTCTCCCTCTTCTGCTATGTCAACTTAATCCGTATCTTGACTTCATTGCCCAAAATCCAGGCTCGCAGAAGACAACGGGCCGTGGGGCTAGCAGTGGCCACGTTGCTCAATTTTGCCATCTGTTTCGCACCGTACAACATCTCCCACATTGTTAGCTTCATTCAGAACAAGAACCCCTCCTGGAGAGTTTATTCCTTGCTCTTCAGCACTCTCAATGCTTCCTTAGATCCGGCAATCTTCTATTTCTCTTCCACCGCCATCCAGCAAACCTTTGCCAGCTGCTTTGCTGCTGTGGGCTGCAAGCTTCAGGCGTGGATACCATCCTGTTACCAGCTTTGTGGTGAGGTTGAGAGAGAGGGCAGTGGAGCCAACAAGTCCTCTTTGTCCAACAGGGAGAGTGTGAGGTAGCCCTTTGGAAGACTTGTTTAGCCATCCCTCAGATTGTGAGGCAGAAAAAGACTGTCCGTGCGGAGTATGGGGAACTCTTCTTCCTGGTTAACCTCTAGAGGTTCTTCAGACATTTTCAGACTACCTCAGGAAAGAAGCTCTGTGTAGACTCTCTCCAGTGGCTGAAGGGCTCCGCTTATGCTTGGCCAACGTGGTGAACTCCAACAATAGAACATTTGGGGTTGCTTGGTGACAAGGTCAAGGCTGTGGAGAGGATCTTCCTTGCTTCAACCACGCAGCACTGCATTTCTCAGCAGCCAGAGAGGGGAAGCCACCTCTTTGAAAGCAGCTGGTCCAACCTCCCTCTGCCTCATTTGTTAGAAGCGGATTCTTGATCTGTGCTTTGTAGCTGACAGCTCACATTTTGGCCTTTAGCTGCTCAATTGGCTTAGTGAAGCATCAAGCACCAGCTCTCACGAGATTTGAACCCTGGACCATTATCAGCATGGGCTACTGCGTGCATTTTGCTGGCAACCACCCTCTTTGTAGTGTGTCCTGGGGAAATTCAGTTCTCAGACTTCCTCCTTAAAGTCAGACTGGGCCATTTACTACAATCAACAGCGGTGTTATTATCGTTTCCACAAATTACACCAACAGGTGCCCTCCGGGCAGTTAATAGGATGACAGATTCTAAAAGCAAAGCAAAGCAAATGCAATTCTTTGTTATTGAGCCAATCAGGAAGGGACTCTTGCCTGTGGCTCTAATACAGAAGGAGAGTTGTTCTTTTCCCCCTTTCCCCTTTTTAATTACCAAGAAAGACTTAGAATGACAATCAAACTTTGATTATTTCTTGTTTCAGTTTCCTGGATGGTTTATTCCAGCCTTACTCCTCCTGCCCTATGATTACACTATCGGGGGTAAAGAATACTTTTATTATTTAATATACATTGATCTTTTCCTTAATATTGCCTGTTAATTGATATAAGATGCCTTTTTATTCATTCTCTGGAATTCGAGTCATGACACTTCTTATTCATCATTCGTAATTTTTAAACATTGTCTTTTAATGATGTTAACCACCATTGTATACTCATTGTTTTTGAGCTGGTTGACCATCTTCTGGAGGATTTTCTTCCGAACATTTCGCCAGTCTTTGTAGCCGGCATCTTCAGAGGGAAGGAGTTTGAAC